CCAGAACACATGAAGCAAATATGCATATATTTCACTACCTCCTGACATCTATAGATGCTATACGGGTATTGAACCAGAACACATGAAGCAAATATGCATATATTTCACTACCTCCTGACATCTATGGATGCTATGGGTATTGAACCAGAACACATGAAGCAAATATGCATATATTTCACTACCTCCTGACATCTATAGATGCTATGCGGGTATTGAACCAGAACACATGAAGCAAATATGCATATATTTCACTACCTCCTGACATCTATAGATTCTATACGGGTATTGAACCAGAACACATGAAGCAAATATGCATATATTTCACTACCTCCTGACATCTATAGATGCTATGCGGGTATTGAACCAGAACACATGAAGCAAATATGCATATATTTCACTACCTCCTGACATCATGCGGAATTATCTAATAGTTTAAAATACGCATGTAAGTAAAACCGTTTTTATGACCACTCGTGCACACCTTCATAGATAGACACTATGTGTATGCACACCAAGTATTACAATGTGTCCAGATAAACATGTCTTTATATATCCAAGACAGTAGTGATAACGAACATCCAAATTCAGCCGCTCATAGGCTTCAGTATAATTATGATGTTCAAAAAAATTGTGAAAGGAAACAAACTTGATTATCTTAAATTCTGAAAGATTTACTTGATTCCGCCGCCCCCCTTTAAGAGTTGTGTTTTACAAACGAACCCTACCTACAAATGAACGAAGTACAATATGTTAGCGTGGAAACGAAAATTCCCAAATAGTTAACACGAGTATGAATAGCGTAGGGCACAATCAGCAATCTGAATTCACATGTAACATGGAACAGCTTATGAGTTAATTTCCGGGAATGAACCCTACCCTCATTTGATCATATGTTCTGAATAGCAAAATGCACACTCACAGTTTACTCCCGAAGCGAATGTCCTGTTAACCTACCGTATATCTGAGCATAAACGCCGGCTCACAACACAAAGAAAAAACACAGAGGATGGGAAACAATATTGAAACAACATGCCCTGAACGGGTCAAAGTAGCCTCAGGAAGATGTGAAATCGGAGGCAATTACTAAGGCAACATGTGATGATAGACCTACATTTGTTTAAAGTTAGATCATTTTGTTTATCATTTCTGTAAATTGCTGATGATGGAATGTGTTGTGGAGTATTAAATGCATCTATTTTATCAATTTGTTAATGCCTTTGTTTTCGGTATTTCAGACACCTCAGTCAACTCAGTCACACGAAGAAGATTAGGTAATGTGTTTTATCAGCTATATATTTATGATATATATCTCATATAGACTTTGGGGGCACGGGTGGCCCAGTCGTCTAAGGCGCCGCGATTCGCTGTGCAGAGTTGCGTCCCTTGGGCACGCCAGAAACCTATGATTGTGGGTTCGAATCCCAGTTCGCCCCGATTATGTTTCTAGGTTTGTCAGCACCATACCCGTGCTCGTGGGTTTCACCGAAGTGGTAAACGTCTGAGACCTGCATCAATTGGGGCTTTCCTCCCACATTAAGCTGACACGCCGTGATATAACTTGAATACTGTTAAAAGCGGCGTTCAACCCAACTCACTCACTATTGGTGGTGAAACATCAAAACTCGAAATTAAGGTTTTCAGCATTCCACCAATTGTATATGACAGTTTCACAACGATTCACTGGCTGTCGTGGCGGCCATGTCAAAAATGTGTTTAGAATGCTGTGAGGTACAGTTTACTTATATATAGATTACGTTAAGGAGATGATAAACTTCAACATGCCAAAAATGTGACTTTTGTTATTCCAGATAAATTAAAGCGACACAACTCTCCCCATAATCAAAATGATCATAACGCATTCATAATCATAAGAAATCGTACCCCAATAGCCTAGATCGATGCTCATGATGTCAATCACTGGATTGTCTGTTCCAGACTCGTTTATTTACAGACCGCCGTCATATAGCTTGAATATTGCTGAGTGCGTCGTTAAACTTCAAACAAACAAACAAACATCAACAGAAATAGTGCTTGGTGCTACGTTAAGCTACAGTCACCCAGTCACACAGACACACAGACAATGCGACCGCGACGCAACCCCTTTGCAACCAACTGGCGATCGCTGAGACCGGTGCAACTCCTTCTGCCCATATTTGGAATTAGCGAATGATCGCCGATCAATCAGCGATAGGTTTTGCAACTTGTCAGTGATTGATCGGCAACTGTTCACTGCAGTTACGGCGAAATGTTTGCAACCGGTTGAGACCGATCGGTGACTAGTCAGCGAATCTTCGATGACTTGTTGCAACTGAACGGGGACTGGTGGGTGACTAGTTGTCGATCGATCACCGATCAAAACATAATGCGTCTAAAAAGGGTGCTTTTCTGAATCAAATCATTTCTTTGCAAGTTGTCCAGATGTTAACAGCAGAACAGTTGCAGTTGCTCCGCCTGCAAAGAATAAATCAAAATGCTGCAGTTGCTGCCATGATTGTGTACAGAAGAATAAGAAGGACAAGGTGAAATCAGTATTGGCTGAGATCTCGGATCGCGAGAAGGCCATAGCTGGGAGACTATGAGGATCTGATGGCAGAGTTGCAGAGAGAAAGTCGTTATGATCTCATTGGCTAGGCTGTCAACATCGGACATCTCTGGCTCTTCCTCCTCATCAGGGGGCACGGGTTGCCCAGTCGTCTAAGGCGCCGCGATTCGCTGTGCAGAGTTGCGTCCCTTGGGCACGCCAGAAACCTATGATTGTGAGTTCGAATCCCGGTTCGCCCCGATTATGTTTCTAGGTTTGTCAGCACCATACCCGTGCTCGTGGGTTTCACCGAAGTGGTAAACGTCTGAGACCTGCATCACTTCGGGCTTTCCTCCCACATTAAGCTGACACGCCGCGATATAACTGGAATACTGTTAAAAGCGGCGTAAAACCCAACTCACTCACTCACTCACTCCTCCTCATCAGGTATCCGCCTCTTCTTTTGTTGAGATGTTGTCGGCTCTGGCTCATTTGTAACAGACCTGTGCACGACAGCAGTTCTCTTGTATCTTCTACAATTTCTGGTTCTTTTGTGTTCCTGCCTTTACGGACCATGGTGATGAATGGAAATAATTGATTGGAACTCTCTGAGTACTTATGACAAAATGATGCTGTAATGCCCAAACAGGTCTTTTATAGACGGTGACATGTTGCAAACCCAACGGCGAATGATCGACGCACACGTGGAAACCACTTTGCAACCGATCGACAACCAGTCACCGATGAAGCGCCGGTCGATCACCGCCTCGTCACTGATCAATCACCGATAGGTCGCCACTAGAAGAGTCAACACCGATCGCCGCACAGTGGAAACCAGTCTGCGATTGGAATAAGACACTTGGGGACCTCTAGGAGACCAATGAAACCGAGCGACCAAATCAGTCGCAGCCAGTCTTTTGTGCATGTTCAAAAGACTGGTTGCGACCGATTGGGTTTTGCGACCGCTCTGAAACCTTGTGGCGACCTCAGTGAAACATTTCAGAGACGCCTGAAACCTCATTGCGATTGTCAAATATTCTGGCCGCCAGGATGGTGCATCGCGGTCACATTGTCTGCGTGACTGAGGCTTTAGGCAACAAACAAACACTTCATCACTAGTTTGCCTTTAACGCCCAATCACCCAATGGAATCGGGATAATCCAGACATAGCATATACATATACTCGCCACAAGAGTGAACTATGTCAATTCCATATGATAAATCCGAGTCATGACAAACACAACATTTCGAATATGGTTGTCTGACCTCTGTGAACCTAAAACCATTACTCGGACGACCCAGCCTTGTGGAGCTGTTTCTACTTTCATGACGCATAAGTTTAATTATCAAGTTCACACGTGTTTGCGTGTTGAGGGGGGTGGGTGGGGGGGGGGGGGGGGGGGGTGTGTGGGGTTAGACTTTGGGTTAGGGTTAGGGTAAGGGTTAAATATAAAGATATTTATTAAATATATTTTACAGATGATACATTAAGGCCTAAGATGACCCCTGTCCTGCTGTCGATGATGTGCGCCTTCTGTCGTCGTCGTGGGCATCGGGCGTGCATCGTTCGAATGTGCTCCCGGACATCACAAGCAGCAGTCAGACGTCAGCTAGAAGTCAGATAGACAACGTGTGTAGTCACCAATGAAGTGAGTGAGTGAGTGAGTTCGGGCCGTTAGTAACAATCTTCCAGCAATATCATGGCTCGCGACATCAGGAAAGGAATCTCTTAATATTTGTGTCCCCAACCATGTTATTGCTGCAATATTACACAAAACAGCGTAGAACCACTCACTCACTTTCAGATGGAAGAATTAATGCCAATGGCTCTGTAATTAAAATCATATGAAATGATCAAGTATTTTCTTTAACGACATTTCATATCTGTATAGTTCTCTTAACTTATTATATGTAAACTTCAAAATGGAATCGGAAACAAACTAGCCTGCCAACTTTTTTTTGCGTAAAATATAAAACTATAAATAACTCATTCTGAAGGACGGATGAGATAAAAAGATGTTAAATGGCCAGGCTTACTATACATGGTTTATATGTCTTTCAAATTTCGAAATTATATAAATAAATACATGTATAACTGTTTCGGATGCCTGTAGTTTATGGTTAATTATTTGCAGATAATGCTGGGATGATGTGCAATCGTGACAGCTAATAAAAACAACTGCTTAAATTTAACATAGATGTTGTGTGATTCATTAAGTCAGCAATGACTGGTGAGCGAGCCGGTGGCTGTTGGACCGCCTCCGTGGTCATTTTGATAGATCGTGTTCCCGGAGAACGTCGATGGTTCAATACCCGCCGCGTCATAACCAAATATCAAAAGATGGTAATTGTTGTATCCCTGCTCGGCATTAAGGGGATATGGCACTATACAAACTTGTACACGCACGTACACAAATCGCTGTCTATGTGCAATAATTATGTATAGGTTAGACCATGAGAATCCGATTATAATCGTTGAGAAATGATCAGTTAAACCCCGGGACACTCAACGATTTAACATCGGAATGAAAGTGATCTAACCTATTTAAACCATGGCCAACATTCAAAGCACCTAAAATACTTTTAAAAATTGTTTTGTTAAGGGTATTTTAAAAGATATTCAGGAACTCTATGCCCAGCTGTGAGAACACTGTGTGAGTCGACCTCCGTAATGCACGTGTTCGCCGAGCCTTTTGCACGTGCACCTTGCCGACTCGGGTTAATGATATGCATGTCCAATTCATTTTGGACCAACTCAAGCACATTTATCAATCACCTAAATATTACTTGCCCATGTTGATGGGCCTATTATGAGCAAACATAGTAGCATGAAGATAATAGCAATTTATTTTCTATCTTTTCGTTTTGTTAAACGAAAATCTAACAAATCACACGTACGTACAATGCAGAGAATAACAAAACATACAGCATAAAACAGATATTTAGCAGTTCGAAAACGGATTAATTATTAGTTCTGATGTAAGCAAACATTTAGCAACTGTTGCTCATTTCATACACGCTCTGGATGTCCTCATTTATAACAGACCCGTGAAGATCCGGGGTAGAATAAGTCCTCAGCAACCGATGCGTGTCGTAAAAGGCGACTATGCTTGTCGTAAGAGGCGACTAACGGGATCGGTTGGTCAGGCTCGCTGACTTGGTTGGTACATGTCATCGTATCCCAATTGCGTAGATCGATGTTCATGATGTCAATCACTGATTGTCTGATCCAGACTCGATTATTTACAGACAACCGTCATGTAGCTGGAATACTGCTGAGTGCGGCGTTAAGCAAAAAACAAACAAACATTTATAACATCTATGTAAACTTAGGGGTAAGACATTTGGGATAACTTCGGCCAGAAGTAGGCATCCCCATGGGCATCAATTGTGTTACCTTTTTGCTGATCTCTTTCTTTGCGCATCTGAATCAGAATTCCTGTTCAGATTGGCAAGGTCAAAAGAAGGTCATTTTGGCAAGAGGTTTAACTTAACTTCAGGTATATCAATTATCTCTTATCGTTCAATAACCATCAAATAGCTAAATGCCCTCCCCTGATTTACCCACCTGAACTAGAAATGAAGGAGACCAGTGAGACCGCTTCATCTGCTTCATGTTTAGATCTATGCATAAAGATTCAGAGAGACAAAACACAAGACTTTATGGCAAGAGGTACGACTTTCCAATAGTCAACTTTCCCTATGTCGAGCAGCTCCAGCCCTTGGTGTCTACATTTCACAACTTTTTAGGTACAATCGATCATGCTATTTCTGCCAAAATTTCAAAGAACTTCATACAACTCTTTCCAAGAAGATGTTGATTTGCCTTTGCATGTGTTTGTGATTGGTGCCACCGGTTGGGCAGGATACGCTCACCTGGTATCTGTACAATTTGATAGTGATTCATAAACACATGCTCGTGACAGTCGGAATGGAAAATTGACTTTCGTTTTTGACTTTGAAATTTCTTATTAAGATGATCGAATACCGACATGGGTACAATGTGTGAAGACCATTTCTGGTGTCCCCCGCCGTCATATTGCTGGAATATTGCTAAAAGCGGCGTAAAACCATACTCACTTACTCACTCTTATTAAGATGGAAAGGGTTTTGTCACTTTTAATTCCATGTCGCCATGGCAGCAGATTAAATATACTACTCAAAAGAAGTTAAGGATCATCTGATTCTTTCATATTACAATAGTTAATCTCTCATGCCATGGCAGATTAACGTTAACATTACCAATATGAGAGAATCGGGTGATCCTTTACTTCTTTTGAGTAGTATATGTTAGCCTTCGGTGCGCACTTCGCGGCGTCACACATTTCTCATGAAATTGTTCTCTCATCAAGGAAAATTATTGGGGGAAAAGTACCTCAGAAAGAAAGGGGAATTCATTGCCAAGTGGTGCTTAACTGGTACTTCAGTTAGTTAATCCACAGTCAAGACAAAGGAGCCATGTTTTAAATCCAATTTAACCATCACATCACCACAATCTCTATTGCAGGTACAGCAAACGGCGGCGTCCGCGCGATGTAGTAAACGGATAAGGGAATTGTAAATCGTAATATGATTGCTTAGTCTGTCTTACAGACCCTGATACAAATATATATCAAATACAGCCCATGCAGGTCTATAATGTTTGGCAAGTCTAGATCACTGCAGTATAAAATGAAGAGAGTCACTGGGCTCCTTTTCATTATATTTTTGTTAAGATAACTGAACAACTGGTTTTTTTCTGTACGATATGTTCATTTCAGAGACTAGATGTTAGTCTATATCACTGCTGTAAAGTGATACATAAACATCACAAGCGTGGGTGAGGGTTTCACCGAAGTGGTAAACGTCTGAGACCTGAATCACTTCGGGCTTTCCTCTCACATTAAGCTGACACGCCGTGCTATAACTGGAATACTGTTAAAAGCGACGTTAAACCCAATTCACTCACTCACTCAAAGCCCTTCCTCACACGGAACAGGGACGCAGCCCACGGCGAGCAGGTTGCCAAAGTCAGTGTTACACACACACACACAAACTCACACACACACACTCACACACAAACTCATGCACACACACACAAACACACACACACACACACTCCCACTAACACATACTTGCATTCACAGACACTCTCGCCAACATACACTAAAGCACACACACACACACACACACACACACACATGCCCTCCCACTAACACACACTTGCATTCACTGACTCTCTCAACATACTCACGCTAAAACACGCACGCACACACACACACACACACACACACACACACACACTCACACACACACACACTCACTAACACACACTCACTAACACACTCCCACTAACACATACTTGCATTCACAGACACTCTCGCCAACATACACTAAAGCACATACACACACACACACATAATGAATGTTGACACGCTGATTATGCCGATTTTGATGTTCAATGGGGACAGCAAATACAGATTTGCTCAATAAATAAATGTTGAGTGATTACAGTTATCAAAAACAGCTGCAGATTACATACATGGACAGCTTTAAACGCAGCCTGCAATAATATCCCCCAGTTAATTAGCACAAGCGATAAGGAAACATGCAAGGAAAGTTATGTAACATTATCCCTGGCGGTGTCTTAAGCAGTATAGAGTGTCCACACCACTTCGACGAAGAATAACAGTATGACGCTCTTGAAGATAATATTACACATTCACGTTGGCCATGACAAGTTGGTATTTGACATGATAGCCTCGTCTGGGAAAATACGAGCTCATTTGTAGCCTCGTCTTGGAAAATACGACTTCATTTGTGAGACGGACACGTCTACTTGAATAACAACATCGACGTTCTTATCCTGCTGGTGAACATCAGACGGTGAGTTTAACTAGACAGACCTGTTGACATTGGTTCGTTTCAATGCGTTAATAACAGTAATTTGATCCTGATCCCTGAAAATAAGGTGAGTTGGTGCGATCAGCCAATCGGTTCACACAATAGTGAGTGAGTGAGTGAGTGAGTGAGTGAGTGAGTGAGTGAGTGAGTGAGTGAGTGAGTGAGTGAGTGAGTGAGTGAGTGAGTGAGTGCGTGCGTGCGTGCGTGAGTGAGTGAGTGAGTGAGTGAGTGAGTGAGTGAGTGGGTGGGTGGGTGGGTGGGTGGGTGGGCGGGTTTGGGTGGGTGGATGGGTTATAGTCACATCAGCCCTTTTCCAGCCATATTGTGACTAGACAAAGTAATACAGCTGTTTTCACCAAAGGGCAGTGACATCACTGGTAATTCACTTTTTGTTAAAAACAACCTTGAAAACAAGACCAAGATGAGATTGTCAAACAACGACACTATATAATTCTCAGGTTATAAACAACCATTAGCCAATTAGCTCCAATTACACCAAACTAATACAAATTAATGTAACAACTGGTCTTCTTCACTATTTTGTCTTGAAATGATAAGCTATAGTGTTTTCCTTTAGGGGAGAAAATCAAAACTCGTTGTACGCAATTATAATATGTTCTTGGAATGAGAACCAGATGGCAGTGAGAGATATTAATGTGCACGTTTCCACAGATGTTTATTGCCCCTCGAAATGAAGGAACACGTGCCGACAGTGTTCCTTAAGTCCCCTCAAAGTCACCAGGGCCCACTTGCACAAAGCGATCCTAGCACTGAGATGAACGTAACTCCCATACTTTAACGTAGGCTTACGAGAGGCTTAGCGCTAAGATGACTTTGTGCAAGTGGGCCCAGCTCTCATGACTTCGAAAAAACCCAATAAAACTCTTGTCGGTCTGCACTTTCTTAACAACAACAATCTGTGTTAACTGATCCTACAACAAGTAAAGTCAATTTAAAAGACTCTTTCAAGTGAGCATCCGTCTTACTTTTTTAAACAACCGTCAATGTCGTTGTCTTTTGATGTCTCGCCCTCTTTCATAGAATTCGTTTTATACCGCGACAACGCTATTGTTTCACTATAAGATATCCCGATGTTCTTGTTTGTATTCTTTCCGGAATGTCTTGCATTTAGAATAAAACGAGGGACTTGTCGCTCAGCTAGACGCTAAAGCTGTTCAGTGAGTATGTCATGTTCACTATTCTTCCAAGCAAATTTCCGTCAATCTTGACAAAATCGTTCACTTTAATCGGGGATAGGAATGTTGACATTCTTGTTTACATGAAGGGATAGCAGACGATTTAATGTGCCA